AATGGCTAACTATGAGAGAGAATTTTCATAGTTTACTTTTTCAATTTCTAAGAACTGTACATTATTTTCCTGAATACATCCGTATGTGTTAAAATAAAGAATCCCCCCCCCCCAAAAAAAAAAAACTGAGTAAAACTTCATGAATCCTTTACCTCTGTATTTACTGAGTGGCCTGGCATACCCCTAGCCCAAGACCACTCTACTCTTTAAACACATCCTGAATTAACAGAAACCTACAAAAGAGACAAATCTCTCCTCTGCAGTTTAAACTGAGGTCTCTGGGCCTCCCCGGTAGTGCAAGGGTTAAATCTCAGCACTATGAAGCTATCAGCAGCCACTGCAGCAAGAGTTGGACTCCCAGCCAGGGAGATAACCCACATGGCGCAGCAGACCTCTCCAGTCTCAACTGCTGCTCCCCTCAGCAGTGTATTTCAGTGGATCTGCCTGTTCTGCTCCCCACTAAGTCTCTGGTGAATTCTCTTTCCTCCTCCCCACACCTCTGGCCTATACCCCAGCTCTTGTATGCATAAATAAATAAAATAAATCTTTAAAAAATAATAAAATAACTGAGATCTCCTCCAAAAGGAAGGAAAAAAAACCTCTTCCCATCTCTCTTTGAAAGCACAGTTAAGTGTGCAGTAGTTTCCAGTGGCTGCTGTTAAGAAATTAGTACAAATTTGGTGGTTTAAAACAACACAGATTTTTACCTTTCAGTTCTGAAGGTCAAAAGACCAAAACCAGTTTTGCTGGGCTAAAATGAAGGTGTTATCAGTATATCTGCCATCTGTATATCTTGCAAGCCTTGTGGACTCTTCCTCCATCATCAAAGACAACAGAATACCATTGTCTCTCCTCTTGGACAAGTAATTCAACTATGTTCTTTTTTTTATTTCTCAACAGCTACAAATATTTTGATAATAATGAAATCAATGGTTTGGTGAAATCAGTAGAGTACAAAAAAATGTGCATTAGGTAAAATTTTTTTTTTTTTTTGGTAAAATATTTTAGATTTGCCCCTCCCCTTTACACGAACAAGGTATAAGAATCTAGCAAAATCTATAGCCCACATCCTAGAATTTACATCCAAGGCTTGATACCTTAAATGGTTCTATAGCCAATCGCTGAGTCAGAGTATTCTATTCAACTGATGCCAACTACAATAACAAAAGTCTAGAATATTGAATTCTGCCTTGAATGAACTTTTCATCAAAATGCTGTCAGTATACCTAAAAGGACAAAGAGCTGGCATTTATACAACTACAAAGGTTATATGAACTGTTTTGTGTTGGCTTAATATGTAATTCATACTATTTTAAGTCTGCATTTGTGTTAAAATTTATTCTAAAAATGATTTCATTAAAATCTGGTTAGTGAAGTTGTGGGTAAACAACTAACTTAGAGCCACTTAACCAAACCAATTTAGGTCAGCAATCAATAAATAAAAAGACAAAGTTGTATGTGTAGCTTGTACAAAATGCAAATAGTAAAGTTAAAAACTACATGAGTTTAGAAGGATTACTGAGGACTGAGATAAGTCAAAATCTCAAAAGTAACCATTTAAGAGAGAACTTTTTTTTTTAAGATTTATTTATTTATTTATTTATTTATACAAGCACTGAGTACAGTCAGAAGCGCGGGAGGGTGAGAGAATTCACCAGAGCCAGAGTGGGAAACAGAACAGGCAGTCTGATGAAACACACTGCTGAGGGGAGCAGTGGGCACTGCAGGAGAGGTCTGCGCGCCGTAAGAGAGAACTTTTCAATAAGCAGAGCCCTGAGAAAAGGGATGGATTATCTCCTGCAGTTCAGGCAAGACACTAGCCCAAGTGCAGGAGAATATGAAGATAGAGAAATGAGTAAGGACTAAATTAAGAAAGAAAGGAACTTGAACATTACCTTCCAAAAATGTGAACTTAAAATTCCTATACTCATTACTACATACCAACACTATTCTTTTAATTTAGTGTCCCAAATCAGTTAAACTGTAATCTACCAAATCTTCCTTTCTTCAGAGCTTGTTAGGAAAGTCAACTCTTAAGTGAAACCATTCCTCATCAAAGAATACGTCTCTATAGCCAATACCAAACAACCAGTCCTACTACATTCAAAAAATGTTGACACTTCTGCTTCTTTAACCAAGTTCCTCAAAATAAAGAGCTAGGTATAGGACTACACATGCAATAGATATTATAGTGTAGGAGTAAAATATAAACACACTGTCATTTACAGTCCCTGTTGATCTTTTTCTGGCCAGTTGTTGTTTTCCCCATGGAGCTTACATTTTATTTGGGAGAGACAAAGAGTGACTATATGAGTTTAAATGGTCGTAAATTCTATAGGATAGGAGGAAGCAAGTTAAGGTGGATAGAAGATCTGGAGGTAGGGCAGAAGTTGTTTTATGCAATGGAGGAGCTCATTAATAGTGGTAGGCGGCACAATGAGAGGCACCCCCTAACCCCCAAACCTGCAGGCTTTAAATGGGTCCTGCCAATCCACTGCATAAAGACAAACATACTTAGTGTATAAGAGCTCAGTAGAAAAGAACTTTACTAGAATTAGTGTGCAGTAGAAGAGGAAGAATGTAGTTAAAATAGTTTCCAATGAAACATCCAAAGTTGCTTATCTTCTGTTGGGTATATGCCCAGCCAAACAGGGTTGACTCAAAGCAGGGCCACTGAGGCCTGAAAGCCTGCCACAAGTCTAAGGAACCTTCTGGTAGGGATCCGTAAGAAAGGGGCAGAAGGGGCCAGCCAAGTCTGGAAGGAAAGGAACAAAGTAAAAGTACAAGTCAAGATAAAGGCTGCAGGGGTTTTTTTTGTTTGTTTTTTTTTATTTTAAGATTTGTTTATTTTTTTACAAGAACTGGGGTACAGGTCAGAGGCATGGGAGGGTGAGAGGATTCACCAGACAGAGCGGGGAGCAGAACAGGCAGATGGAGTGAAATACACTGCTGAGGGGAGCAGCAGGCGAGACAGGAGAGGTCTGCCACACCATGTGGGAATCTCCCTGGCCAGAGGGAATCAAACCTGTGCTGCAGAGGCTGTGGGACAGCTTCGAAGTGCTGGGCTCAATCCGCTGCACCACCCAGGAGGCCCCTAGCCAGTTTTTGCAACTCTCCCAAGTCCCTGTACCTGAACTTATTCCCTTTTAGCCTTTGCTCCTTCCTTAAAATGTAAAGATACAACCCACCTCACAAGACTTTTATATGTTAAAGTACTGTATAAACTGTGGATCATGATTCAAACGACGGTTACTTCTATGTAATTACGTAACTTCTATATAGTTACGTAACCTCTATATAATTCCTCAAGTAAAGATACATACTACATATGATCACCCTTATCACCTCCTACTACATTTATGTCTTCTAGAAATTCTATCAATTTACCACTATTTTATTCACCTTCAATTACATCATTCTCCAATATGTTGTCTTAAATATCTTTTTTCTTACGTTTATTCTATACCCTCTCTCAAGTAACCTCTTCATTCATCTTCCAGATTTCAAATATGCATTTCTTTTCGCACATTATATCCTAAATCTAGAAGATTGCCCACAACTGTGCAACAAGTTCATTGTTCGTTTTCATCTTTTTTAAAGAGTTGAGTTTTCATCTTCTCTACAAAATCTTTACTAAAGAGAAATCAAACAAGACCTAAATTTAAATTCATTTACAAAAATCACAACTTACAACTTAGCTTGAAATATTATATCATAAATTCAATTTGACTCTAATTACTTGCTTCTGAAAAAACCTGTTTAGATTGTTATATAAATCATCTTTATATATAAATATATAAATTTATATAAATATAAATCATCTTTAGAAAGTGGTTCCTTGAACTTTTTCATCTTCTTCCAAAGGTATCAAATACATTTTCGTTTTCACAGTATCTGATATACATCTTGAATGTATATAAACTGCAAAGAATTTGTGTTGTTTTTCCTCTCCTTATTTTTTTACAACAGTGCATATGTACTCAAGTGTATCAATAGTCTTTTAAAAATGTAAACAGGGGCCTCCCTGGTTGCGAAAGGTTTTAAGTCTCAGCACTATGAAGCTATAGCAGCCACTGCAGTTGGACTTTGATCCCCGGCCAGGGAGATAACCCACATGGCGCAGCAGACCTCTCCGGTCTCGCTGGCTGCTCCCCTCAGCAGTGTATTTCAGTAGATCTGCCTGTTCTGCTCCCCACTCTGTCTCTGGTGAGTTCTCTTGCTCACCTGCACCTCTGGCCTACACCCCAGCTCTTGTATGCATAAATAAATAAATCTTTTTTAAAAACTTAAAAGTAGAAATTACATATGACCTGGCAATCCCACCCTTGAGCATTTCAGCCACGGAATATGACACCATCAACCACAACAACAAAAAGGTAAACAAAGCCAGAAATTTGAAACATTTTTAAAACATCACTAGTTTTAGCTCTTAGAGCTCACTTCAAACTCCTTACATTAAAAGAATCCAAAAAAGGGCACCTCTGACAACCAACTATATGAACACCACAGCAGTGCTTAAAGAACACTAAAAAAATTCCTTTGCTTGGGTTATATCATTTCTTTCTCACAATAATTCCACAACAGTAAGTATTACTCATTCTATTAACAGAGAGCAAAACCTGTCCAAGACCCTAAAGTGAAATAACTGAGTTAAAGCCCAAACTTCTAATACTAACTACAACTCTCTTCCTGAATAGCTGAATTAAAAAGGAAGACCAGCAAGTTCTCAAAGCAGCATTTGCTTTCATCACTGGCATTAAGTATACATGGTCTATTTTTAAGGTCATCAGCAGAATCTTAATATAAATATATATGCCAACTCTCTTCTTCTATCAGAAAACTTTAAAATATTTACACTGTTAGAGGCTATCCTCAAGTATAACAAGTTAGATTTTCTACTGGAAACATGAAAGCATCTGCCATTGATTACAGCTATCAACTACCATTTATAATTTTCAAGTAATGAATTACCAAGTATTCACTTGGTATCCTTTACTTACCGAGATAATGTCGTTTTCCCAGAACCAGGCAAGCCTCTTAATAAAATAAGTAACTTCTGCAATTTATTTTTTTCCTCTTGAAATGGTTGGTTCATAAACCTGTCTGGTCTATTATGCTTGTCCATAGAAGGGTCTTTCCAGCATCCTTCACCGGTTTCATAGAAACCATTACCAACACAGCCACTTTGAACACTATAGCCATTTCTACTCTCACTACAGTCAGTATATTCTTTGTTTTGATCAAAAGTCAAACAATTCCAGTTAACATTACAGCTATTAACATAATATCCATTTTGTATAAGAGAGCCATTGTGAGGATGAAAAGTATTTGATGGTGGATTTGGTGGAGTACTGACTCTTTGAACACTGAAATGATAGTCAAAACTGGGATCAGGAGAGCCTTGGGGTTCTGAAAAAGAATGCACTGGTGGCCATTCAGGCCTGAAAGAAGTAAACGAAATGTCACCAAATGTAGGTTTTACTTGTTCATTACAAAGATATTTGTCTGGTTCATTCCCTACATACTGTTGATAATCACAGTGTGACTGAAGAGCATTACTAAGGTCTCTTTTCTTCTCTTCTTCAGACTTTGAGAGGTCGTTATTATAGTCCTGATAATATGGAATAAATTCATCCTTAGAGGGTTCAGATTCCTTACAAACACCTTCTGTATCATCTTTTTCATTTTCAAGCTCTTCAATTTCTTTGTAAAACTGAAATAATTCATCGTCAATCTCTGATTTCTTTAAGTTAAATTTCTGTTTCTTTTCTTGTCTTCCTTTGCCATCAACACCATTGACAGTGTCTGCTTGATTCCTCTTTTCATTACAATTTTTCTTCTCAGGGGGTTTGTAAATGGGTCCTATAAATGCTTTACTTGTGCTGTATATCTCATCATCCTTGGATACCAGTGTAGGATTTGTACGCTTTAAAACTTGTGAATCAGTGGATCCAATAACACCTGGCCTATTACCAGGCTTCTCATTGTGAACAGGTTTGAGCAAGTTTGTAGTTTTGGTTTTATCCTGTTGAGTATAACTATGTCTTCCAGTTTTCTCTTGGATTTTGTGAAAATTAGCATTACCATGATGGGGAAAAACATAAGCCTTGTCAGTTGACTTAAATTTTTTATAACATGGTTCACTTGTTATTTCTTCCCCGCGTCCCAAGGATTTAGCTTTAATTTCACCATAAGGCATCTGGTAGCAAACAAATCATATAATTAATAACTAATGTCTAACAAACCTAAATAAAACTTTAACAGAAACTAGAAAAAGACATTTAAATTTTAAGGCTCATCTTGTTCATCATTAATTCTGCCCTGGACACAGCAATTAACAGTAACATTTCCCCAAAATATAAAATTTATAAAATTCTAGTTTCATAACCTCTTAGGATTTAAGTATTGGTATAACACAATGATTTATGGGTGGGATTTAATTAAAGGTAAGTATCTCATCTTCACTCTAAATGATGTAATTCTTAGTTTAGAGAACTTAAAAGTATTTAAGTTTGGAAAGTTAAATCAATAATATATATTTTGGGCCTCCCTGGTGGCGCAAGGGGTTAAGACTCAACCTATGAAGCTATTTGCAGCCGCTGTTGCAGGAGTTCAATCTTTGGCCAGGGAGCTACCCACATGGTGCGGCAGACCTCTCCTAACTCACCCACTGCTCCCCTCAGCAGTGTATTTCACTCAATCTGCCTGTTCTGTTCCCTACTCTGTCTCTGGTGAATCTTCTCACCTCCAGGCTATACCCCTGTACACACACACATATATACACACATACACACACACAGATGAGATACATATACTCGACTGTGTACTAACGAAAGCAAATCTGCGCACAAAATTGACACATCAAAACTGACTGTGACAAATGGCATCATAAACGTCCTCCTGTTTAAAATCACTATGTCTTTACGAGTAAATGGATACAGTTCCCAAACCTCTGACAATTCCATCTCCTTAACAATCAAGCTAACTAAAATCCTAGACTTTATGGGCCCTATTGCTGTAAGTAGTGCAAAAGTGGTGTCCAAATGGGTAAAGTGCGTTGATTTAAAAGAAAAAAGATAACTTCAGTTACACTGGGAACACCACAAACATGGTATATTATGGTTAGAAAAGAAATCTGGCCACTTCCAAAATCAAAGCGCTCATCTTTTTCTGAGAACCGGTCTATATCGAGAAAAATTCTGCTTGCCTTGAAATTTCTTAGGGACCCTTATGAGTACAACTCAAAAGCCTGTTTTATTCAATACTTCATTCTGCTCGTTCTATGATGTTCCCCTCTAGAACACGAAAAAAGGAAAGGGCAAAGAGATCAACTACAGAGAACACAGGCAGACAGCAGAGTCTAAAGGAATATACAATCGTAAAAGATCGCCGTCCTCCCGGACACGGCTGCCATGCTCAGCGAGCTCCCGCCCTCATTTCCTTACTGGAAATGTCAGAAAAGTCCCAGGCAGAGCTGGCCAGAGTGCGTTGACAAAGCGTGGCCTACACACAATATGAGCCCCATCGCCTCTCGCCCTCCCAAGAGGGGAGACCGTGGAAAAGTGCGTCACCCAGTTTCTTTGTCCCAGCGAAGGCATTTTCAGTTCTTCCTAGGATTCTGGAGGTCTCCGAGGCTGAAAGGTTCACTCCGGGTACCAACGTTTAAAGCTAACCTAAAGCGCGCGGCCGCCCACCCACAAGCACGCAAATCGATTAGGAAGAAAGCGAAAGACATCATCACCAACCCGATCCTCCCTTAAAATATGTTGTTTACTCACCTTACTCTACAGCTCTGCATTGACCTTTGCCTCCAAATGAATCCTACGTTAGAAAGACGCGAACCTCCGAGAAACTGAAAGAAACGTCCCTCGAGGCAGAGACACCGGACCTCGACAAATCGGGTCCTTAAGACCAAGCAGCAAGCCTCAAGTCCGTACGCAAGATGGCGGCCATCTCACGGTTGCTCTGGCTAGAGTTAGGGGTCCTTGCCAAGGCATTGTGGGAATTGAAGTCCGGCGTTCATACTGGGCCTGGGAACTTCGTAGTACGGAGACTTGATATCCCAGAATCCTTTGCGTGTTGTACGCACTAACTCGACAGCAACGTAGACCGGAACTAGTTTCTAGAACTGGGGCGGGGAAGTTAGTGCAAATTACCAATTTTGGCTGAAAAAGGCAGAGACCTACCCTGGGTTTCACCCCTAATGGAAAGAAAATGTGAGTGCCCTGGCACGCTGGAAAGAAACATAAGCTGTTCTCGGTGTATACTCTTCAGGTTTTTTAGGAGATAATTAGGCTTTTCAAAAGGAACTCAACATTTGATATTACTAGTAGAGGTTCCGATATTTCTACAAAAAAAAAAAAAAACCTAAAATTGTTATGCACATGTTTTTCTATTAGAGGCGATCACTGCAGCTGAGTTTTGGTAACAGATAAAATATGAGAGAAGCATGTAGTGTCATGTCTGTGTTTTGGAAGATGAGACCAATTACTGATCTTCCCTATTTAAAAGAAGTATATATCTATATATATGTGTGTATGTGTGAAAAGGGCTTAGAACAGCCCCTGGAGGAAGTAAGCACTGTGTGTTTGTAATAGTAACCACTAACGGAACAACTAGCAATCTTCAGCTCAAGGTCCCTTCTCTTCTCTAGCCACTTCCCCCATTCTGTGGACCTGCTCTCCCCAACCCTCGCTCTTCTTTCTTTCCTGTCCTTAACGCGGGAAACGGCCAGTTTCTTCATATTTAAGTAAATTTGTTGCGATAGTGTTTTGAATTTATACATATAATAAAGAATTTATAAATATAATAAAAAATTTATAACTATAATAAAGTCACAGTCTGGAGTGTTTGCATTTGATTATTTAACAGCCTTAAGACCAAGAGGGCTCACCAAAGCAAGCAATTCCATTAACAACAACAAAAATCTTCCTCAAATAAAAAATTCCCACATCATAATCTGATGTCTCCTCATCAGATTCAAGTTATGCATCGACCCTCAAAACGACATAATTTGTTTCCTCAGGATGTGACATCTAGAGGCACAGGATTCTGTCCATTATAAATTTACATTAATTAATCGCCCGATCAAGGTTTTTACTCAGTTTCTCCAGCTCAGTAAGTAATCTGCGAGGAGAGAATTTGAGACAAAGCAAATACCTTACTCTAAACAAAGTCTACCTTATGGAGTGGCCTCCATTAACCATTCTTGCTGCAACCAATGATAGTTACAAAATACTGGGTCCCCCCCCACCCCCAACACCTAGCCCTTCACATTTATTAATCCTGATGGTGACATTAAGAAGAGCCTTCTTGGGATCATGCTCAGCGAAATAAGCCAGAAAGAAAAAGAAAAATACCGGCTGGTCTCACGCATAGCAGGAATCTAGAAAACTTAAATAAGGGACCAGGAAAATTAATAACTCTAAGAAAGTGAAAATCAAAATCAACAAAAAACTATGAACCAGAGACACTTAATGGGGGGTGGGGAGTGGGGAGGGGAGGGATTGGGGTCAAAATAAGGGGGTTGCAATTGTATGGGGAATACAAAAATAAAATTTATTTTAAAAAATTAATTAATTTTTAAAAAGAATAGAAAAAAAGAGCCTTCTTTATTTATGAAGGCTTTAAGTATGAATTCATGTATTCATGAATTATAATCCATTGCTGTCCTTAATTTACATGTTTGTTTGATTATTTTAATAGACTATTCTTAGGACAGTTTTAGATTCACAGAAAAATTAAGTAGATAATACAGTGTTCCATGTAAACTCTCCCTATATAACTCCCTTGCACAGTTTTCCCTATTACTAACCTCTAACATTACTATGGTACATTGTTATAAGTAACCAATGATGATACATTAATATTAACTACAGTTTATTCAGGTTTCCTAACTTTTATCTAATGTCCTTTCTATTACAAGATCCCGTCTAGGATACCATAGTACATGAAGGTGTAATTTCTTAACTGTCCTCTTGCCTTTGACATTTTCTCAGATTCTATTTAATTTCGATGACGTTGACAATTTTAAGAAAACATTGTCAGTATATCTGACAATTGTCAGATATATTATAGGTTACTCTTTTATTGGAATTCATCTGATCTTCTCTCATGATTAGACTGAGGTGGTGGGGTTTTGAGAGGAAGACCACAGAGGAAAGTGTCATTTTAAATCATATAACAGTAAGTATAGGTATTACCAACATAATTTATGTTTGTTTATGTTGAACTTGATCCCCTGGCTAGTGTTTGCTGGCTTTCTCTACAGCGAAGTTGCTCTTTCCCACCCGTCCCCAACCCCCTTTCTATACTATACTCCTTGGAAAGACATCATTGTGCATAGCACACATTTCAGGAGTGTGAGTTTACCTGTTCTTTTACCAGTGTAATTAATGAAAAATAGTATGTCAGTGTAGTTTTAATTTGCATTTATCTCATTATTAATGGGCATTTTTGTATCATTTTTGTGGATTGTCTCTTTGGCTCACTTTTTATTGGATTTTTAAAATTCAATCATTTTTTGCTTCAAGTTAAAAATGCCCTATATATTAGGAATATTTGCCATTTATCTGGCACATTTCTTGCAAAATTCTCCTCCCAATTTATTTGTCTTTTTACTATGTTTGATTATTTTCCCCATGTAAGAGGTTTTTTATTTTTAATTTTTTTTAAAGTAATTATTTCTTTATTGCATGTGAACTTTAAGCCATAGCCATATTAAGAGGAATTGCCTACACACAGGTTAAAAGGATTCACTCAGGCTTTCTGCTACAGCTTCAATCCATTAGCAGTTTATTTATGGAATAAGAAATGAATTTCTAATTTTTCCCCAACACAATTTATTAAACAGTCTATGTTTACACCAGTGGTGGAGATAATCACTTTTATATTAAATGCCACATGAACTTAGTTTTTATTTCACTTAATTGGCATTTCTGCCTATGAATCAATAGTACACTGTTTTACTTATATCTTGTAAGGCTTACCTAACCTCATCCCCAATAGTTTTTTTCTTTTTTAGTATTTTTCTAGCTGTTTATTTTTCCATATAAACTTGAGTATCAACTTATCTAACTCTAATAAACTCTTTGGTGTTTTAAAAATTGGGATTGAAATACATTCATTAATTAACTTAAAGGAAATCTAATATATGGATAATATTGATACATCCGAGCACAAAATGTGTATCTTTTTTTTTTTTTTTTAGATTTATTTATTTTTATACAAGAACTGGGTTACAGGCCAGATGCACGGGAGGGTGAAAAGATTCACTGGAGACAGAGCGGGGAACAGAACAGGCAGACTGAAGAAACACACTGCTGAGGGGAGCAGCGGGCAAGACAGGAGAGGTCAGCTGCACCATGTGGTATTCTGCTGGCGGGCCGGAATTGAACCCACGCTGCAGAGGCTTTGGACAGCTTCACAGTGCTGCGCTCAACCCCCTGTGCCAACAGGGAGGCCCCAAAATGTCTATCTTTTGATTAGCACAAGTCAAATTTTATGTAAAGAACCCAATCTTTATGACACTGATAATACAGTGTACTTTATAATAAATAGATTTTAAGCATTTATGGTTAATTTTTTTCCTAAGTATTTTATCATTTTGTTACTTATTGTAAATGTTCTTTTATCACATCTTCTAACTGGTTTTTATTTGTATAAGCTAAGGTTGTTGTTTTTCCTATTAATTTCATATCCTGCTATATTACTGAATTATTTTGAGTTAGTTTTGGTTCATTCTCTAGGGATAAACAAAGTAATCATCCTTGCCTTGTCTTCTGACCTTAGTGGAAATATACTTAGTGTTTCTCCAGTAAATAATATTCTGGCTTCAGGATGCATGCACAGGCACGCACATACACTCCATATTTCTTGAGTAATGTTCCCTCTCCATTAGCACATTTATATCTTTCTACAAAGCCACATAAATTTTTATCCTATTCATAAAGAAAGTGTATACTTGGTAACTTCTATACCTGAAGCAGGAATTGTAAGTAGTTAGGTGAAAAAATTAATTTATGCAATAAAATATTTTATAGTTTTATTTCATGGCATACAGTTAATCCCACAAGAGTTTATTGATTGTGTACATGAAGACATTCATAATTCTAGTTAGGAGCTGCAAAATAAATTTTTTCTTGACTGTTTAATACCAAGGCGATTGAAAATTACACCTTGTGGGTAATATTTTAGAAGAACTAATCAATATATTTGCTTGAAAATATGAGCACAGCTTCAATAAAGCCTCATATATGAACTTTTACGATTTCATTTGATTTTTCATCTGTGATCTATTGATTTTCTCATTATGAATATTTATACTTACCATGCAGTACAAATTTACTTTAAAATGATATTTTATCATTTTTTGAGTATAGAAATATACAAATTGAATTTATTTTTAACTTAATTGTTATCTGAAATTGCTGAGACAAGAGGAATTGAGGGATGATTTGGTAATTTTTCCTATGTCTATTTTCTTCCTCTATTTTATTCAAGTGATACATAGTTATCACAGAAAATATAGAAAGGATAGATAAGTTATATTATGTGGAGCTATATTGATACCACATGAACTAGCTTAAGCAGAAGTGTATTTATGATAAAGATGCCAGGAGTCACAGAACCCAGAATCAGCCAGGCACCTAGTGTGGCAATGAAACAACAGATGCAAGGATTCTTTAAGAACGGCTGGCTAGGGCCTCCATGGTGGCACAAGGGGTTAAGATGCAACCTGTGAAGCTATCCGCAGCCACTCCAGCACAAGTTCGATCCCCAGCCAGGGAGCTACCCACATGGCGCAGGAGATCTCTCCTGACTTGCCCGCTGCTCCCCTCAGCAGTGTATTTCAGTCTGCCTGTTCTGTTCCCCACTCTGTCTCTGGTGAATCCTCTCACCCCCACCCCACAACTCTGGCCTGTACCCCAGTTCTTGTATGCATAAATAAATAAATCTTTAAAAAAAAAAAGAATGGTTGGCTACATGAACCACAGCAGCATAAAATATATCAGCAGAAAAGTCTTGTTAGTGTGCAGC